GCGTACAAGTGTTGTTGTATATTAAATAATACACCTCATACCAAATTTCTATTTGGGAGTTTTGTTCTCATAACCAATGGTTTAGCTATAATTGGAGGCATACAATTTCTGCTAAACCAACTTGGATTTAAACCAGCATTATCAAGATAAATTATCATAATATATATTCTGGAACTGTGCTCTAATAATTTGAGCAAACAACCTTGCAAAAACCAAAGTGCAAGTTGATAACAAACGCACATGTGACCATACAATAGATGCATCTATTAAAATCATATAATAGTAAATAGTCCACATGGCAGGTGACTGGGCCCATAAATATATCACCTTTTATTCGTTCCAAAAATCAAGAGATTCAATCCCAACCTTAGCTGGTATATCATGAGAATAAGCAGCACAAGAGAATTCTTGAAAAATCTTCTATTTCTTCAATATATGCCAATGTGAATTCTCAATCAATTTTTTCGCATCATAATTGAACCGGGATGGCCAACCGGTCATGCCAACTAATATTTATTTCTGTAAACCTCTAGTTTACTTGTGGCATGTGATTCCATCATCATGCTTATACTCGTGTAGTACAAATAGAAGAAAAGTCGGGTAACCTTTCATATTTACCCGGTATGTTATAGTAATATGAAGATAATCAATCTTCCTTTCATTTATAGTCTCAATATGCCAACCACTTTGGCTAATACATTTGAAACTCAAAAAGTTTCTTTTGAGACTTACTACCACCAATGCCATGAATAATTTTATTTATTCGGGTAGTAACAAATTCGCTCTTCTGGAGCTCTCAATAATTTTGCACTACAAGATCTTTTATAACACTATCCAAGTGGTGAATTTTTCCTCCACAGAGAAAATTATCTTATCATAACAATTGCCATGGTCAAAATCATCATAAGCAAAATCTTTTCTTGCTTTAATTTTGCCTTTAATAATATTTTATAAGGCATGGCAAAATATTTTTGGCTTACCACATGTACACGACCAATGACATATTCGTGTAACCACATAGTAATGTTTATGATCTTTCTTTCTCTCAAACCTCCCGTAGAGGTGAGTTGTAGTATCAATCATGAATTGCACGTCTTTATTCATTACTTTTATCACATATTGCCACATTCACCTTCATGAATGGGTCTGCATTCTCAATGCTTATCACAAGTCACATTCTCTTCAAGGAATGGACCATAATCAGCGACGTGCTTTATTATTTTTCCACATCAATTTGATGGTAAACATTGCCTTCACATTTTGAAAGACTATTTTGAGAACCCTTATTGTTCTCATTTTACAATTACCATAATGATGACTATTATTATTTGATCTTTGGCATGCCCACGTTTATTGGTCAACCACTTGTCTTCATTTAGACTTACTATGCACCGTTATCACATTCACTTCAAGAATGGAGCAAATCAAGTGGGACAAACTTCATGCTTTTTCATGAAAAATACATTATTTTTCTTTAGTCATCATTATATCATCAATATGGTGCATTGGGACTCAAACCCAATGCCTTACCCATATAAAGGCATGTTAGGCTATAATGAGTTAGGACTCAAATCTAACTCTTATCATCATAGAGCACCAGGACTCAAACCCGATGTCTTACCCTTATACAATGTCATAATAAGTCTAAGTGGACTCACCCTTGAGTCTTTCATGATATACTACTTTATAATAATTAGTTATTTTTGCCCGAACTTTAATGAAAGCTCACATTGATCTTTTTCACGAACAACCACATGATCAAACATAAAGGGAATAAAACTATCTTAGTTATACAAAATTTATTTTGACCACAACATAAATTTAAATTCATATTTTTTAAGATAAATTAGAAACCTCCTCAGTAGTTAACAGTTCCATAATCTTGGCTTGAAAACTGTCGGAGCAGTACATATGGGAGATGATGTCAAGGCATCGTAATACGCTCTTGTTTCTCACTCTAAAGCAGGTACTCCATATGTATACATCTACACAAATGAAACTAAATTATTAAGTAACACAAATTAAACCAAGTCTTAGATATTAACGTAAGTTAATTGCAGAATTCATGGCAACTGAAAAATGATACTCCCTGTATAACAGAAGCAAATACAACATTGATATGGTAACGAAATGCCCAGATTTTCACAAGCTCAACCAAATTGATTCAAGGTTGTAGCTCCCATGAAAGGCTTCCATCTCTTATAGATAATATAAGAAGAATTAATATTAGCAATTCGTGTTGATAACGTGTTAAGAAACTAAGTTCAAAGTAACAATATAGAACAATAAAATAGACAACAATGTAGAGAGGAAGAGAGGAGAGAATCTTATTTCTTCTATGTATTCAAGTGTGTACAATGTGATGCCCAAACCCTCTATTTATAGGATGATATAGGTAATACAAAGGGACTCCATAAACATGGTATTAACTATTGAGAACATGGGGAAGATCATGGAGGTGTGGGAGTTACATCCATAATGGTAAGAAGTAGTGGGAGGTTAATGGAGAAGAGTAGTGGGTGTTACTCCCTTAGGAGTTATGGACATCCACCATAATCAAGTATTTCATAACAATAATAATTCACGATCTTTTCGGAATGATATGCAAATCCTAGGTTAGATGAATAATGGATCTTTTCTCGTAGAAGCGAATCGTTTTTAAAGTACAACTTGAATTAATGGTTTTAGTTAAGAATTCTCACAAAACCAATGAAGTCCTTATTCCCATAACCTATTAAACTCTCTTACGACACGTAGAGTATTTTTTAAACTCTCTTACGACACGTAGTGTATTTTTTGAATATGGGATGAAAAATAGTTTTTGAAAGTTGAAAACAAATTTGGACATGCATTTTATTTGAAAAGAATTTGAAGTTTTATGAGTAGAAAATTTAAAAAACTTCAAAAACTACTCTAGAGCTGTTCTTGGGATTTGAAGATAATTATAGTTAAAATCATATACACAAACAAATATTTGAAAACAAAATTTAAAAAAATTCCAAATTTTATGGTCAAACGGAACTAAGAGACATATATAGTATATAGAATTCCTTTGGACAATTTATGAGTTGCAATTGAAGTTAAAAAATCTCAACCAAGCCAAATAAAGCATATTCTCCTTGTATTTCTCTTGCGCCAATTCATATTACTATAACAATTAATGGGACTATCAAAACCCAATAACATCATTAATTCCTCTAAAACATTGTTGCCCAAGTGTGTAATATTAATTTAGGTATGAATGAGAATAGTGAATATTCACCTATTTGGAAACCAAATGCCTTAGGGTATGTTTTACTACCATCAAATTTGCCGGCTTGGGAAATCATGAGAATGTTACTTTCACTAATAAGAAAATTTGGCATAAACGAGGACCAAAAGTTTAAAGTTTAAACTCTTCTTCTTTATATGGAGACTGGTTTGCCATATAGTTACCACTACGACAAGTTGATAACAGAGTCTAATATTCGAATGGTCGCTCAACTATTTGAAAATACCTAGTGAAATTATGTTTCTTTTGTTTGTATAGAAAAGTCAATTAATTATTTCATAGCACTCATAAAGTCACTCCACTAGATTTCTCAAACTTTCAGTGGCTAAAGACCTATCTTAACCTCTAAATTATCATCATTTATCTTTTTTTGATATGATAATTTTTAGGTGCATACCTAAATTACCTATATCTCAAATGAAGTGACGTACTCATAAATTAAACGTCGGTTTACCTAAATTAAACTCATACATAATTAAGTGTATTACATGCATACACAACTGATTACCTATATCTAAAATGAAGAGACATACTCATTTTCCTCTCAATTTAGTTAATGAAATAACTAAATTGGTAATTTGTGAAGTGGCAACTTGTTGATATCTTGTTTATCATTCTTGAGACTTCATCTTCACGAATGACTAAAAGATTGCGCTTTCTTGAGACTGGATAAATGAACAACACAGATTGGAGCGGATGCACGCTTATCGAAGTGGTGACACGCGACACCGCTTCGCCCAAATTTTGTACCAAATATAAATATATATTAATACTGTGAGGAAAGGGATAATTAGAAAAAAAAAATAACACCACTTGACATAAATTGTCTCGTGGTTCATTAGTTTTGGTGCTTGATTTTGCTCCAAAAGGTCAAAGGTTCAAAGTTCAAACCTCAACTAGCATATTTTTTTGCATGTAAGAGAGTCTCCGCGGTTAAAAATTATGATGAAGTAGAATTGTAGTAACGGCCATTTCTACATCAGACTCAACAAACCAATAGACTAAGACAATTTCTTGTCTAAAACTATAATAATTAAAGTTATTATTCTCGTTCTTTTATAAATCTCAATACCAATACAAATATTCATGCGTACGCCTCTGAACACAGACTTTCCGCAATTAAGGTGCAAAGGCAATATATGACCATTGTAAGACAACTTTTGTTGCCCAAACATAGAGGGTCTACTACAAAATTCTAAATCTTGTATTTTTGTTTCCTCTTTGTCGTGGTTGAGCCGGTGAGCTCAATGAAACAATAACGAGAAAGAAGAAAATAGTAAACTAAAAATTAAAATAGCATAATCATTGACAACTATTACAGACACTGACTCTCCTATTTAACCAGCTAAGGACGGAATAATCTAACAAACCCTTACAAAGGGGACGTGTGTCATTCTTCTAGAGACAACTAGTAATTTGCTAAATGGAAATATCTAATATGATATCTAACTAATGGGTTGAATTCTAGGTGCAGACGGCCCACTTTTAATATACTTGGTGGCCCATAATAGTCCAAGCCCAAGTTACCCTCTCCTTCTCTACATTCCATCCCCCTTAAGAACCCGCTCCTCCTGTCCTCTGTCAACTATGGATCAAAGTTGGGAAATTGGGACTTCAAAAATGAGTAGTCCTCCCAGGTGGCTTCTTCAGGAGACAAATTAGTCCATTGCACGAGGACTTGAGTGGCAGCACGATTTCCCTTTTTGACAATTCTTCTGTCCAAAATGGACTATGGTTCCATGCGAATTTGACCATCATCAGTGCAGAATGGAGGGTCTTGAGCTACGAAAGTTTTATCCCTAACCTTCTTCTTAATATGTGACACATGAAAAATGGGGTGAATCTTGGAGTTCTGAGGAAGTTTGAGCTCATATGCCACTTTCCCCATTTTGCGCATAATTTGATAGGATCCATAGAATTTGTCTGACAGTTTCAAATTCTTCCGCACAGCTACTGAAGACTGGCGGTAAGGTTGTAATTTCATGAATACCCAATCCCATTCCTCAAAGTTTCTTTCACTTCTCTTGGAATCTGTATAAACTTTCATCTGATTCTGTGCTTTGGAGAGATTGTCTTGTAGTATTCGATTTATTACCTGTCGTTCCTTCAAGGCTTGGTCCACCGAATTAATCTTACCCTGCGCAATGAGTTCAAAACTGGGCAGTGGTGGATCATACCCGTACATGGCCTTAAAGGGTCATGCCAATGGCGGATTCTAAATTTGAGTTGTACCAAAATTCTGCCTCAGACAGCCATTTGTTCCACTCTGTTGGTTTGCGCCCAGTCATACACCGGAGGTAGGTTTCCAAACATCTATTGAGCGTCTCTGATTGACCATCCGTTTGGGGATGATTGATAGGGTTATGTTGAAGTTTCAATGATGATAATATTATCTTATGGTATATTTACATGACATACAAAAAGGAAAGAATGAAGATGCTCAGCAAGATTGCTACTGGATTCAAAATGAGGAAAGAATGAAGATCCCGTTATTGTATTAATGATCAATCAAGAAGCAGATTGACTCGTCCTCAAATAAAGGGATCTCAGATTGCCAATCATAGAAGATCGCGCTTGTAAATTAATCTCTCCTTGAATTCAGCTGTGACAAGGAAGGTCACATTCAAATCGGGGTCAGTCAAAGAGCAAGACTTGAAGAGGCACCCCTTGGGTCAAAACCCTTTATTAAAGATCGTGTGCCTCAAGTTTCTAAAAGAACTCAACGGCTCTCTTCTCCTCTATAAGAAGGCTGATCTCTCAAGAAGAAGACCACGTAACTACACAAACTGTATTCCAAATCTGTCTACTTCTTAGTTCAAACACAGTAATTCTAAGTTATCAGTGTCTCAAAAGATAGAGAGATCTAGAGTACAAAAGAAAGTTGTGTCAACTGATTAGAACTCAAGTGCTGATACTGTACGTTGGTGGTAAACGCAAGAAAAACCACCAATATTGTAACTTTGTTCTAAAGATCTTAAAGGGAACCCTTGTGACCCAAGGAAAACTGGATGTAAGTACCACATCAGTACCGAACCAGTATAAATCGTGTGTCTTACTATTTCTTTTTACTGCTTTCACTCTTTCTGTCTTGTGGTTAGTCAACTAATATTTATATTAGTCGACCAAATTTTAATTAGTCAACAATTCACCCCCCCCCCCCCTCTTGTACTTTCAATTGGCATCAGAGAAAGGCTCATAATCTTTGCTTTACCGCTAGTGAGAAAAAGATCAATGGGATCCAACATTGTTGTTGGTGCTCTCTTTCAAGAAGGAACCTCTCAGGTTTGACCCCCTTACTTCAATGGTCAGCATTTTTCTCATTGGAAAGTTCGCATGGAAACATATACCATTTCATATGACATCAAAGTATGGCGTGTGATAAAAAAGGAAAACCTTCCAATTCCTCCCAAGAAAGATGAAAATGGTCAAGACATCACATCAACTGATCCTTTGGATTTGGACGATTACACTGATGAACAAGTTGTTGTTATCACTGTCAATGCAAAAGCAAAAAACTTACTGTATAATACTAGCAGTGGAGAAGAATATGAAAAAATATCCAGTTGTGAGACAGCAAAAGAAATATAGGATAAACTGGAAGCCACTTATGAAGGAACCAACAAAGTGAAAGAGACTAGAATAAATCTCCTGGTTCGGGCAAATGAAGGATGGAGAATCTGTTGAAGAAATGTTTTCCAGGTTCATCAAAATCCTTGGAGAGCTCAAATCATTTGGAAGACCTATCAAAAGTGGCGAACAGGTTAGAAAGATCCTTAGAAGCCTACCCACAATCTGGCAACCAAAGGTCACCGCTTTAGAATGTCAAGATCTGGACAAAATCTCCTATGATGAACTCAGAGGTGACTTGATTGCTTTTGAGAAAACTCATCTTGACAGACAAATCCAAGAGAAGAAAAAATTGTTGCTTTCAAGGCAACTATGGCTGAACTAGAAAATGAAGATGAAGTAGAAGGAGGAGAACAAGATGAAAACATTGCAATGCTCTCGCAAGTTGTAACCAACATGATGAGAAGAAACAAAAACTACAAAAGAGGTAAGTCTAATTTCAGAAAAAGAAGGGCGAGCAATGAAACAGATAAAAATGATGGGAGATGTTACGAATGTTGAAAATTCGGACACGTTCAAGTTGATTGTCCTGAATTGAAAAGGAAGCTTAGCAGAAACGTGCAAATGAAGAAAGCTTTGGAGCATGGAGTGATGAGGAGGAATCTGATCACGAGGAAATCGCCAACATGTGCTTTATGGCTCTAAGCGACAATGAAGAATCACAAGAACTTGGACTAGTGACAGACAGCAACGATGAATAAGATGATTCAAGAAGACCTTGTTCACCGTTGAATGAAGGAACTAGTGAGGTACGTACTCCCTTATGTCCAAATTGTTATAAACTTCAAAAATTTGTTGATATTGCTCTTGCAGACATAGAAAGAGTAGTAAATGAACTCAGAAAGGTCAAGAGAGAAAAAGAAAGAGAGAAGAAGGATTGGGCCCTGAAACTAGAAATATGCAAAATTGAACGTGACATACTTTAAGAAGAAGTAAACAAACTGAGGCTTCAATTGAATGGCCTACAAAAAACCTCAAGTTCTAGTTCAGTCAAGACTAATCGGAACGTTCCTGGTAGAAAGAAAATAGCGTGTTCCTTTTGTGGTAAAAATGGTCACAGCACTAACAATTGCAGGAACAAAATTAAAGCTGAAAATAACTTTGGCACCTTCAACAGCTCATCTTGCACCTACTGTGGTAAAAGAGGTCACACCTCAAATCATTGCAGGTTCAAAAACAACAAGAGATGAATTTGGAGACCAAAATCTTCGTATCAAACTAAGTCTCAAAAATCTAACCATTCAGGACCCAAGCAGGCTTGGGTACCTAAAAATAAGTAATCTTGTTTTGCAGGAACACCGCAAGAATAATCGAAAAGGAAAATGGTATCTCGACAGCGCGTTGTTCCAGACATATGGCGGGTGACAAACAATTGTTCAAATCAGTCACCAAGATAGATGGAGGAACGGATACTTTTGGTGACAAATCCAAAGGAAATGTTATTGGTGTTGGAAAGGTTCCCTTAAGCTCTACATGTGATGTGGATAAAGTTTACTTAGTAGATGAACTCGGCTACAATCTTCTCAGCATCAGTCAACTATGTGACAATGATTGTGAGGTTCGTTTTAAGAAACATGGCTGGTTCATAGAAGACGAATCAGGTAACATCATTCTCTCTGGTAATAGGGACAGAAATGTCTATACTATCAAAAACTTGGAAAACTTTGGGGATCAAATTTGTCTTACTTCTATAATTGAAGATCCTTAGGTTTGGCATAGAAAACTTGGGCATGCAAGCATGCACACCATTAAAAAACTTTCAAAACATGACCTTGTTATTGGTCTTCCAAAACTGGATTTTTCAAAAGATCATATTTGTGATGCATGTCAATTAGGAAAACAAACTCGATCCTCTTTCAAAGTCAAAAACATTATTTCAACTTCTAAACCTCTTCAACTGTTGCATATGGATTTATTTGGCCCCACTAGAACTGCTAGTATAGGAGGTAAGAAATATGCTTTTATTATCGTAGATGACTTCTCTAGATTTACATGGGTTATATCGTTTAGTCATAAAGATGATGTTTTAAAGAATTTTGAAGTTTTATGTAAGAAGGTTCAATGTGAGAAGGGTTACTACATCTCTACCATCAGGAGTGATCATGGAGGAGAGTTTGAAAGCAGAGCATTTGAAAATTTCTGCAGTGATCAAGGAATCTCCCATAATTTCTCTTCACCAAGATCTCCTCAACAGAATGGTGTGGTAGAACGGAAAAATAGAACCTTGCAGGATATGGCAAGAACCATAATAGTGGAAAACTCTTTACCTCATCATTTCTGGGCAGAAGCCGTAAGTACAGCATGTCATATCATTAACAGATGTCTCATTAGACCTATACTCAAGAAAACTCCCTATGAACTATGGAATGGTAAGAAACCAAACATCAGCTACTTCCACCCTTTCGGATGCAAATGCTTTATTCATAACAATGGAAAAGATAATCTGGGTAAGTTCGATCCAAAAAGTGATGAAAGTATATTTCTTGGTTACTCTCCCTCAAGTAGAGCTTACAGAGTTTATAATAAGAGAACATTATGTATTGAAGAATCTATTCATGTTGTTTTTATTGATACTAACCCTCGCCCAAGGAACGAACATGTTCCTGAAGATGAGGAAATTTCTTGTGCTCCAAAATCTGTTATTGTAGGTAAAGATCATCAAAGTGAGTCAGCTAATCTACAGACCCAACCAGCTGAAGCTCCTTCAGAAGATCTTGACTTATCTCAATCAGATCAGTCAACTAACAAAAAAAGATCTCTACAGCAAATACTCCAAATGAATGGAAGAACGAACCAGGATACCCTCACAAACTCATTATAGGAGATCCACAAGAAGGAATAACTACAAGGAGATCACAAAAGAACAAGTCTCATGTAGCTCTCATTTCCCAAATTGAGCCCAAGAAGGTTGATGAAGCTCTAAAGGATTCTCATTGGATCAACGCTATGAAAGAAGAATTAGATCAGTTTGAGAAAAACAAGGTCTGGGAATTAGTCCCAAAACCTCAAAACTCCTCTATTGTTGGGACTAAATGGGTCTTCAGAAATAAACTGGATGAATCAGGCCAAGTCATTCGAAATAAAGCAAGACTGGTGGCTCAAGGTTATTCTCAACAAGAAGGAATCGACTATGATGAGACCTTTGCACCTGTGACAAGACTTGAATCCATCCGAATCTTACTTGCCTTTGCCGCTCACAAAGGATTCAAACTGTATCAGATGGATGTCAAAAGTGCGTTCCTAAATGGTTATATATCTGAAGAAGTATACGTGAAGCAACCTCCTGGGTTCGCAAATTCCACTTTTCCAAACCATGTATACAAGCTGACTAAAGCCCTGTACGGTCTCAAACAAGCCCCGCGAGCATGGTATGAAAGGTTAAGTTCTTTTCTTCTAAATCAAGGTTTCAAATGAGGTAACATAGATACAACTCTTTTCATTAAGCAATCAAATTCTGGTAATCTCATTACTCAAATTTACGTTGATGACATTATCTTTGGTAGCCCTAACACTGTTCTTTGTGAAGAATTTGCTCTGTCCATGAAAGGTAAATTTGAA